TTAATTAATTCCACCCGAGACGAGAGAGAGTTAAGTAGAATAAAAACGAGTTAAAGCAACTGTAGGCGAGATGGTCAAGTGGTAAGGACGAAGTGTTGCAAGTGCGTAAAGCCATCATCGATTCCTGGATTCCAGGCATCGTTGTTTATTAATTCCACCCGAGACGAGAAAGAGTTAAGTAGAATAAAAAAGGAGTTATAAAGCAAATGTAGGCGAGATGGTCTAGTGGTAAGGACGAAGTGTTGCAAGTGCGTGAAGCCAGGATCGATTCCCGCTTCTGTCGAAAGCATTTTAATGTCAGGCATCGTTGTTTATTAATTCCACCCGAGACGATTAATAAGTTAAGTAGAATTAAAAAGGAGTTAAAGCAAGTGTAGGCGAGATGGTCTAGTGGTAAGGACGAAGTGTTGCAAGTGCGTGAAGCCAGGACCGATTCCCGCTTCTGTCGAAAGCATTTTAATGTCAGGCATCGTTGTTTATTAATTCCATCCGAGACGATTAAAGAGTTAAGTAGAATTAAAAAGGAGTTAAAGCAAGTGTAGGCGAGACGGTCTAGTGGTAAGGGCGAAGTGTTGCAAGTGCGCGAAGCCAGGATCGATTCCCACTTCTGTCGAAAGCATTTTAATATCTGGCATTGTTGTTAATTAATTCCACCCGAGACGAGAAAGAGTTAAGTAGAATAAAAAAGAAGTTAAAGCAACTGTTGGCGAGACGGTCTACTGGTAATGACGAAGTGTTGCAAGTGCGTGAAGCCAGGATCAATACCTGGTTGTGCCGAAAGCATTTTAATGTCAGGCATCGTTGTTTATTAATTCCACCCGAAACGATTAAAGAGTTAAGTAGAATTAAAAAGGAGTTAAAGCAAGTGTAGGCGAGATGGTCTAGTGGTAAGGACGAAGTGTTGCAAATGCGCGAAGCCAGGATCGATTCCCGCTTCTGTCGAAAGCATTTTAATATCTGGCATCATTGTTAATTAATTCCACCCGAGACGAGAAAGAGTTAAGTAGAATAACAAAGGGAGTTGCAGCAAGTGTAGGCGAGGTGGTCTAACGCTAAGGACAAAGCGTCGCACGTGTGAGAAGCTAGGTTCGATTCCTGGTTGTGTCGGAATTATTTTCGGCAGGGAAAGGTTCGAATATAATTGTATTAACTTCCAAATTTTGTTCGACTATACATGCAGCTGTAAAAACCTGTTTTTTATCGTCTTATGATGCAAGAATCAGGCATCAACAGAAGGCATAGGACCGTAGATTCTAAAAATACAATTTTTAGACCGTGACAAATCCCAGTTTCTGCTGCAGAGGCCTTGAAAATCATAGGAAACGCAAGGTTCGAAACAGCATAATATTAACTTTCACGTCTTTTTCGATTATCCACCTGGAATAACCTGCTTTTTATCTTCATGGACTGTCTTTTGATACACAAGTAAGGCATCGATAGAAAGCTTATGGACCGTAGATTCTAAAAATACAATTTTCAGACCGGCGTAAATTCACGTTTCCGCTACAGGGACCTTGAAATTCAATACAACATCAGATTCGAAACAGCCCAAACCCTAACCCTCACTTATATGATATTAACCTTCACGTTTTTTTCGATTACACAGCTGGAAAAAACTGCTTTTTAACTCCACATCTGGCCTAGTGATGCACGAATGAGGCATCGACAGAAAGCTTATGGATCGTAGATTCCAGAAATACAACTTTCAGGCTAGCCCAAATTCTATTCTCTGCTACAAGGGCCTTCAAAAACGATAGAACATCAGGTTGGAAATTGCATAATATTAACTTTCACGTCTTTTTCGATTATGCACCTGGAATAAATTGCTTTGTTTCTTCATGAACTGTCTTTTGATACACGAGTGAGGCATCGATAGAAAGGCCGTGAACCGTAGATTCTAAAAATACAATTTTTAGACCGTGACAAATTCCAGTTTCTACTGCAGAAGCCTTGAAAATCATAGGAAACGCGAGGTTCGAAACCGCATAATATTAACTTTCACGTCTTTTTCGATTATCCACCTGGAATAACCTGCTTTTTATCTTCATGGACTGTCTTTTGATACACGAGTAAGGTATCGATAGAAAGCTTATGGACCGTAGATTCTAAAAATACAATTTTCAGACCGGCGTAAATTCACGTTTCCGCTACAGGGACCTTGAAATTCAATACAACATCAGATTCGAAACAGCCCAAACCCTAACCCTCACTTATATAATATTAACTTTCACGTTTTTTTCGATTACACAGCTGGAAAAAAACTGCTTTTTATCTCCACGTTCGGCATAGTGATGCACTAATGACGCATCGACAGAAAGCTTATGGATCGTAGATTCCAGAAATACAACTTTCAGGCTAGCACAAATTCAAGTCTCTGCTACAAGGGCCTTGAAAGTCGATAGAACATCAGTTTGGAAACCACATAATATTAACTTTCACGTCTTTTTCGATTATGCACCTGGAAAAACCTGCTTTGTTTCTTCATGGACTGTCTTTTGATACACAAGTAAGGCATCGATAGAAAGCTTATGGACCGTACATTCTAAAAATACAATTATTAGACCGGCGTAAATTCACGTTTCCGCTACAGGGACCTTGAAATTCAATAGAACATCAGATTCGAAACAGCCCAAACCCTAACTCTCACTAACTTTAGCGTCTTTTTCGATAACACAGCCGGAAAAACTGCTTTTTATTTCCACGTCCGGCCTAGTGATGCACGAATGAGGCATGGCCAGAAAGCTTGTGGATCGTAGATTTCAGAAATACAATTTTCAGGCTGGCCCAAATTCAAGTCTCTGCTACAAGGGCTTTGAAAATCAATAGAACATCAGATTCGAAACCGCATAATATTAACTTTCACGTCTTTTTCGATTACCTGTCTCCTTCTTTCATATTTCATCGAGGATGATATCACTTTCCATGTGTGTATAGAATGCTTATGGACCGTAGATTCCAAAAATACAATTTTCAGACCGTGGTAAATTCCAGTTTCTGCTGCAGAGTCCTTGAAAATCAATAGAACGCAACGTTGGAAACCGCATAATATTAACTTTCACGTCTTTTTCGATATGTACTTGAAATAACCTGCTTTGTATCTTCATGGACTGTCTTTTGATACACGAGTAAGGCATCGACAGAAAGCTTATAGACCGTAGATTCTAAAAATACAATTTTCAGACCGGCGTAAATTCACGTTTCCGCTACAGAACCTTGAAATTCAATAGAACATCAGATTCGAAGCAGCCCAAACCCTAACCCTCACTTATATAATATTAACTTTCACGTTTTTTTCGATTACACAGCTGGAAAAAACTGCTTTTTATCTCCACGTCCGGCCTAGTGATGCACGAATGAGGCATCGCCAGAAAGCTTATGGATCGTAGATTTCAGAAATACAATTTTTAGGCTGACCCAAATTCAAATCTCTGCTATAAGGGCCTTGAAACTCAATAGAACATCAGGTTCGAAACAATATTAACTTTCACGTCTTTTTCGATTATGCACCTGGAATAACTTGCTGTTTATCTTCATGGACTGTCTAGTAAATATACGAATAAGGCATCGATAGAAAGCTTATGGACCGTAGATTCCACAAATATAATTCTCAGACCGTGGTAAATTCAAGTTTCTGCTACAGGGGCCTTGAAATTCAATAGAACGCAAGGTTCGAAACAGCATAATATTAACTTTCGCGTCCTTTTCGATTATGCACCTGGAATAACATGCTTTTTATTTTCATGGAATGTCTAGCCTATGGACCGTAGATTCTAAAAATACAATTTTCACGCTGGTGTAAATTCACGTTTCCGCTACAGGGACCTTGAAATTCAATAGAACATCAGGTTCGAAACAGGATAATATTAACTTTCACCTCTTTTGCGATTACACAGCTGGAAAAACCTGCTTTTTATCTCCACGTTCGCCCTGTAGTGATGCAAGTATAAGGTATTGACTGAAAGCCTATAATCCTGACGTTGAGGACAAGGTTCCTGACGCTGAGGACAAAGTTCCTGACGCTGAGGACAAGGTTCCTCATGTTGAGGAGAGGGTTCCTGACGTTGAGGACAAGGTTCCTCACACACGCGGAGGTCGTCGTACATGCTCGTCACTCAAACTTGTAAGTTATGATGTAGTTTTTAACTGACAGGTAGAGAAATGAGAGAATGTAACTTAAAGCGTGGATAGTGTACCATGCATTAAACATACTCTTAATAGACCTATTATTATGATATGATATTATTTTAATCTAGTTTTCCGTGAAATTGCTTTTTTAAGATACCTGAATCGTGAAACGACTTACTTTTTTTTCGTTGTGAAACGTGATCCATACCCCTCATGTTTGTACGTCTGCTCCTTCGTATTGTTATGTCACTGTCTCCTCTTTTAAATCATACTTGCGCAAGACTTATATCCACCTCACTAGTACTTCCTACACTCCTGACTTACCTAGTTCACACTCACTTATCACGATTCAATAAAAATATCTAACATTTCTCTCTTTGCCTGTGATGTTACTCTGAGTGTATATCCACACCAGGCAAGCTTGAAAAATATGCCTGACCACGGTGGGAATCGAACCTACGACCTTTCGGGAATGCTAGCCCAATGCTCTGCCAACTGAGCTACGTGGTCTGGAGCAAGCATCTTATTCACCTGAGTACATTGCACACATCTGTACATTGCACACATCCTGAGTACATTGCACACACAAGCATCTTATTCACCCGAGTACATTGCACCAACACAGAAAAAACATTATTACTAGATTACATTGATATCGAAGGAACTAGATTCTGTTCCGAAATATCACATACTCGAACCGACCAGACCACGTAGCTCAGTTGGCAGAGCATTGGGCTAGCATTCCAACGGTCGTAGGTTCGATTCCCACCGTGGTCAGGCATATTTTTCAAACTTGCCCAGTGTGGATATACACTCAGAGTAACATCACAAGCATCTTATTCACCTGAGTACATTGCACCAACACAGAAAAAACATTTCTCTCTTTGTCTTTTCATTTCTTTGTTTCTTGACTTTGTTTCTTGTCTTTGTTTCTTGTCTAGTGGTGAGCACCTTGCATGGGACATAGTCTCGTTTGTGCTTCGCCACATTTTGCACTTTCTTCGTCTTCTTGTACAATGTAATTGTCCGTTTTAATAATATTCAGTTATATTCAGTTTTTTTATGTGCCAAATTAAAGTTGTTAAAATAAAATTACAAAGGCGTAGCCTCGGGCGGATGAGTCCGCACCTCTACTTTTCTTCAGGACCAATTTTGTAATAGTCGTTTGAAAACTGAGTATAGAAACTGGGGGGCATAACTTTTACCTGTAATGTTCTCATCTATGACATAAAATATACCAAAACGATTGGAGTCCCCACTCATTTGGGGTTTGCGAAACTCTGAGAATTATATGCAGGTTGCGGGAAATTCTCATTCTACATAGCAGGAGCTTTATTATTTCAACACGTTTGACGGGGCAGTTGTGACCAGCTTATTTCAAAGGAAATTAGTTTAGCCAAATAAACTATAGCTAAGATGAACTTCGAGGGAAATATATCTTAATAATAGTACAGTCTTTTTAAAGAGAGAAGGGCGTACAATTATTCCTCTAAACAGGGGAGGGGGCCTATCAGAGGCATCAGAGATGGGGGCTTATTTGAGAGGAGGACCTATTTGAACGATTGACGTGATTGTTGTGTTTTACAAATTAGGTGCATGAACAAAAATACCACAGGATTTCATTATTCTGATAAAAGTCCTATGTTCTAGCAGTATTTTTGGACATTTTTCATTATTTACTACTATTCTACATATTTTCTAATGCATCTCTTTCATCAATGTTTTCATTACGTACAGACGGAGTCTTAGATTGTGACTGTTGAGCTTCATTATTAACTAACATTGCCTCAATTTCGTCTTGCGTAAGACCAAATTTCTCATGCAATACTTCTTTAAAGCGTATCACTATATTTCTTAAATGATTATTTTCCCTATTAGAGTCCTCTAATGCTTGTGTTAGCGACAAGACTTGCATTTGTAAATCCTCTACACTAGATTGACAAACAGTTTTCTCCGGCTCATCCGCCAGTATCCCTTGACTTGATTGTACAGAGAGATCAAGACTTGAATCATTGCTTTCTTGGCATAAAACTTCAGAATTATCCAGTTTATTATTTGTTTCCAATGTCACTTTTGTTTCTACAAAATTTTCGGTTTTCATTTTAGTATGAGCCATCCTTTCTATCATAAACCGAAGCAACTTCTGTTTTCGTAAATAATCCTCATACTGCAACTGCATTGAAATTAAAGCCTAAGAAATAAAAAAGTTAATTTTTAATGTACATGGAGCAGGGGCAGATCTACAGCAGCCTCATCTGCAAGGAGGGGTGCAGGTTTTCAATGGGGTACTTGCTGCATAAGGGAGTCTTACTGCCCACTCTCCTCTGCAGTCTGCAATGCCACTATATCTAAACATTACCATTATTCAAGATGGGTGCAAATCTGCATGGTCGCCGTTCTGTTACGTTTTACATTATCTTTTTTTTTATAAAATTTATATCAGCTTTTTACTGTATCATGTATGTGTGACTGGACAGTGAGTTGCTGTGGTAAAATACAGTAAATTTGCTTGTTAATGTGCAGTATATTTGAAAATATGGCTGTATAACAACCTCGAAATGTATTTAACCATGAAATTTAACTGAAGTCTGGTTTCCGTATGGTCGTAACTGTAGGCTCCAGTGATCGAGTATCTCAACGACAGTTGTGACAGCTAGGCTAAAAACATGTCGTGATGGTTATGTGTTAATGGAAACAGAAAAACAACAATCAGGAAACAGTTTTGCAACAATCAGGAGGGGGGCAAAAGTCCCCTTGGGGAAAACCATGTTTGTCTTATAAAAACTGCCGCCAGCTGCTTGTACGATCCCTTGGTAGGAAATTAACTTGCGACAGTGTCATTCACAACAAACACTTCACGACACGTTCGTGACACGTATGTTCACGACAGGTACGACTATGTGGAAACCAGGCTTTGGGGGGGGGGGGAGGCGGGCCGGTGCTGGACACTACTAGGTGGGGCGCGCACCCCTCTGCATCCCTATGGTAGATCCGTCCCCGACATGATTGTTTATCAATAAAATATACTGTTAAAAAATGTGGAAAGCTAACCAGGATGATTCATAGTAAATATTCAGACGTTCTCTGCTTCTAAATATTTTAAATATTTACAATATGAGTTTTGGACTGGAAATCTGAAGATTTCTATTCAGATAAAACAAATCTTACCTGGGAAGCTGTAGTTGTTTTCATTGCCTCTGTCATGTAACCTGTCAGAGAAAGTCAGAACAATAATTTGTATAAATCATGGTTATGACAATTTTTGTAAAATAGGTGGCAGGGATGGATCCAACCAGATCTGGTAGGGGGGGGGGGTTCTCATTGTGACCCATGGTCTGATGGTTCAGGGTGTTACCATTGACCAAGTTCATAATCATTTGGAGCTGCAGTGGTCTGTAGAAAGTCAGTGAAATAACTATTGTTCCAGTTGTGTTCTACTACTTTGTTCCGGTCGTATTCAATTTTGGTTTTGCTGGTTCCGGACAATTTCCTGTGGTTTTGTTCCGGTTTGTTATGTTTTTCGTTGTTTCAGGTTTTAGTACATGCCCTAGTGTACAGGCTACCTGCATCATAGACCTTTAGAAGGGCTAAGGGGGGAAGCGGTTAACTCAGAATCCATGATAGTTAAAAAATTGGGTGAACTACTACTGACGTTAAATGATCCGCAATGGGGTAGGGGGTTAAAGTAATCACAGAAAACAAGTCCACAAAGTGGGATGGTATCTATTTGTAGACGGTCCTTTATGCATCAGTCAAATCCAAGCATGCCCGTCCCCCCTCCCCGGGGCTACTGCGGGGCATTTTCCTGTAAAACACGTTCCGGGGGTTGGGCATTTGAACTCAAACCTTTGCCCGGGAGCGGGGTATTTGAAATATAGGAATTGGAGGTTTTACGATCACCGACAACTTGGTAATAATATAAAACAAAACAAACTTCATGTTTTTCCCCTCAAATTCTTCCATGATAGAAAATTCAATATAAACCCATGCAGTCAAGTTGTACAACTTTAAAAATAAATATGTTAGAGCATGACAACAATAAAATGCGCCAGAGTATGACACACAATACTTGGTAGCCTGCAATGCAGGTAAAATATTTGGGCGATATATTAATCAGAGGGCATTCGCTCAAAACATTGAAGAAAGTATTCTCTTTATTTTTGAGTAGTTGGATAACCTACTCTTCCTAGCCAAATAGTCCAGCTGTCCCCGGGGTGGGGGATTTGCTACTGCTGCGGGGCATTTTCACATGTTTTTTATCCCTGTCCCCGGGAATTTGACACATATTTTGAAAGTAAATCGAATTCAGAGATTCTATGTGTATAAATATTTCTGAAGTTGATGTTTACAAAATATCCCGGCGTACTTAATCGATAAACACCGATCATTGGAAATCCAATTGATCAATCGATGGTAATCGATGCTAATTACTTAATTGATATCGATGGTAATCGATGCTAATTACTTAATTGATATCGATTGACATTGATCAATCGATGACCAATCGATAGTCACAAAAAGTTATAGCCAATTTTATCGATTATTATCGATATTCATCGATATTTATCGATTTTTATCGACAAAATGCTTTTTCGATTTTTATCGATTTATATCCTAAATAATCGCCGCGTGTCGGCGTGTTCGAGCTAAATAGTAAATATGTTCTCATTTTTCGAATGTACACATGTATTTGATCTGTATTATAGCAAGATGAAAACTTAATTTAATCCATTGTTACTGAATTCCGTTCACATTTGAGTTTGTTACGACATTAAAGTAATAAAGTATGTATTAATTAAATTACGGCGTTGCCTGTTTGATTGCATGCATATTAACTGAGGATTTTTTCATCAATGAAAATTAATAAATCGATGATCAATCGATGAAAGTCACAGTAAAAGAAGCCATCGATTATTCATCGATTTCCAATATCAATCGATTGATAAATATCGATTGGTATTGATAGATATTGATACTCATCGATTATCGATTAAGTACGCCGGTAAAATATATAAAGGCTACTGGCTACTGTAAACATAATATAAATTGTATTTTTTAAGTAGAAATATATATATTCAAACCAGAAGAAATTTCATAACAAGCCAGTGCCTCCATATACTTCTTGCCAGAAATGAGTTTTTCTGCTTTTCTTTCTTGTCTATGTGCCTGATAAATAAACATGGTATATAGTACGCTTATAAATGATACTGTATTAGGACTCAATAAAATTGTACACAAACACAATTACACTATTATTTCTTCAAATATCGTTTCTTAACAGCATATGTTTTACACTGTTTCGTACCCGATTTAACGGTGAATCCATAAGCTTTAAGTTTATTGAATAATCCACAACATTGATACTGTATTTTTCAAAATATAACAGTGAGAAAAATAATATCAGAGTGTCGTATATGTTGTCATCCCCAGTCTACACCTCCCCGGAGTCGAAGATCATTCCAGTTACACTACGCAGCTCAGCGCAACTTTCATACTTTACCGCCATTTTCCTACTTTCAAGGTTGTTGGAAAAATGTTGTGTTTTCTCCACTGGTTTTGCCTTTTTTAAACTATTTACAGCAGCTCAGTGTTGCGTTGGAACGAATTTTCTCAGTAAGTATAAATGTGCATTTGTTGCCATTCATTCATTTCTTGATAACAGTGCAACCACGCAATTTTTAAATTGCAATTTGCCAATTTCCTGTTTTCATTAAAAAGCTGTTATCATGCTGGCACGAAGTTTGAACTGTCAAAACAACGGGTTAGATAAAAAAAAACCCCACTGCTATAAATAATATCGTAGTCACGGGGGTAAAAGTCTTTTGCATGAAGATTGAAGAACAAAGTAAGGGCAAAGATCATATAGAAACAACTACAACTGCAGTATTTCTTTTAATCCATGAACAGATGGATATATATATTTGGTTGATATCTTTTTGATATATCAGAGATAAAATTTTTATCTATGTAAACCAAGGCAGATGTCATAACATGATAAGAGCCAATTATTTTGCCAATTAATCAGCTAATCTCTAATAAGAATAATGCTAACTACCATCGACTTTTTTGGCTCCTATAAATAGTATGCACTGGGGAACAATGACGGCAGAACAGTTTATATTTTGGAGGGGCTAAGGGCCATTCCATTTAATGTCCACCCCCCCCCCCCTACGGATGAGTTTTTCTGAAGGGTGACTCAAAGTCGTTTCTGAGGGGTTAAGCATGTCGGCATCCTTTGATCTCTGCGATTTTTCTGAGGGGTAAGGGGAAAATTTATAAATTTCTGAGGGGTGTTTTGTGTCGGCACTTTGATTTTTTTTTTCTTAGGGGTTAAAATTTTACTGACCTCATCCGTAGGGCGGTGTGGATATTAAATAGAATGGCCCTAACTGCCATAAAATATAAAAATGTTTCCCTGAAAAATTTTCACATATCCTCATTTTGCCCAAATTTTTTTAATCCAAATTTTGACATATCTTCATTTTGTAATTAATGCAATATCCTCATTTTGATTTATATGAGTTCCATTGCTTTCATGTTATAACAAAATTTCAATGTTACAAGCAAAGGCATTTGATCTGGAAGCTAGTGATTGGTCAATGAGATTGCTGCTTTGAGCTTGGCCACGTCAGCTTTGCCCAACCCTAAATTGCTCTCAAACCCCCTCCCCTGAAGGAACTGAGCCCATAGGGGGGGGGGGGCATAAATATCTATGGTAAAAGATGCATCAATTAGCAAAATAAAGCCTTAGTCACAGTTAGTCCACATCCACAATGTAGCATTTAAAGCCTTTAGTTAAATTAATATTTATAAAATAATGTAATTTTGTAATAAATATTTTACATATCTATATCTCTGAGATACTTAATTTATATATTTTTAACACCGTAGAAAGTATTGTCTGCTGTTTTGGGTAATTTGCACATGTTGGTTTGTTTCAGTCGCAAAGCTAGCCATGGCAACAGGTCATGCTATGCAAATATTTAATGATTTGCATCATTCAAACCCTTAAAAATTATGTATTAATTGTCTTTACCTATTTAGATGCATGCAGGTTTATCGGCATAGCATGACCAGTTGCCATGGCAAGCTTTGCCAATGGTTTGCCATATAACTTCATAAAATAGAATATTTATCGAATATCCAGATAGGATTTCTGGAAAATTTTTGCCAAGTTTAAAAGTTTGGCAAAACTGTGACTTCAACAGTATATAGACTGTGAGATGAATAAACAGACTTTATCTTACATATTATGTAGCAAACTGTAAAACCAATTTTGCGTTAGGATAATTTTTGTACAAAATTATTTACAACTCGATGCTTAGAGTATTTACCCAAACCTGTGCCATACTGCACAGGGCTGCAAAGTATAGTGGACCACAGGACCATTGGTCCAAGAAAATTTTTGAGGTTGGCAGAAAAAAATGGAAGGTAAAACCATAGAATTTAAAACGTCTTAAAGGAAAGAAAGTTAGTGTATTTCACTAATTTTAGTGACTTACTTTACTGCAGATCATGCATGTAGACAAAAATACACATTGAAGAAAAATACATAAGGACTTGTTTACAACATAAAAGAATATTTATTTGGTAGCCACGTTGGAATAAGGTCTATTTTCAAGACCGAAATGATGTTTAGAATTTGTCTAGAATGGACTGAATTTTCCTTAGTTGTGATAAAATTTTAAAAACCATACAATTTGCTGTCCCTTGATTACAGAGAATTTTTTTGTTGGCCTTGTGGTCCCAGAAAATAAAATATTTTTTGCAGCCCTGTTACTGTTACTGTAACTACAGTACTTAACAGTATAAGACTGTGAGATTTTTTCCCTTTAAATTGAAGTAAACATTTATGATCAAACTGACTTGATCTCACCAGGGGTGGATCTACCATGGGGGTGCAGGGGGGTGGTGTCCAGCACCACCCTAAAAAATCTGCTTGACAAATACATTTTCTGCTTTTTGAATATTGTTTAGTGAAATTTATGCTGTGAGTACATGTCAATTTCTTGAAACGATTCAATTGATTTGTGAACTCACAAGAAAATACTCAAAATGCTTTAGTTAAATAGCATGGTTAAACATGTACTGTCATGTTGAGATTGCTATATAGCAGTATTTTCAAATAAAACATACTTTCAACAAGCAAAGTTACTTTACTGTACTGTGCAACAGCAGCTGTTCATGCAAACACGATATAAACTTTATAAAATATAATATAGCGTAACAGAACGGGCAGTAATGCTCCCTGATGCACAACCCCATGGAAAAACCTGCACCGCTTCCTTGCAAATGAGGCTAGATCCACCCCTGGATCTCACATGTAATGTAGCAAACTGTAAAACCAATTTTGATTGTAATATACCAGGCCTCTTCGATGTCATATATTAATATACTTTTTATAATTATATGAATGTATAGTTAATTACCAATCACCCATCTTCTTTTTTATCCAGTTCATATGTTTAGTAACATCAGTAAAGACACTATATTTGCCTTCTTCGTTACATGTAGGAAATCGCCAGCTTGCAATACCACCCAATACCCAACGTTTCCTTCGTTTTGAATTGTCAAAAAAGAAAAAGCCACCTCCACTGTCTTTCTTACATATGCCATCTGCTGTCTTCTTGTAGCCAGCACACATCATTTTTTCATTGACTCTATATTTGTATCTTTTGTAAGACCTTTGACACTCTTGACGGTTGACTACAGGCAGTGGAATTTGTCGCAGTAAGTGAGGCTCTTGTGTCCCGCCCCAGCCAGCAAACACGCCCATCTGCCCAGCATGCATTAAATGTTTTCTTCTTCTTTTTGGCAGACAAACTGGATGTACATACTTTGTTATGTGAACTTTTCTTTCTAATTTCAAAATGGCGATGTCCGATGCGTATTTGACACTGTGTTTGAGGTTCCATGCAAAATCTTTGTGATGTTCTGTTTTATTCACAAGTATTATCTGTACTTCTCTTGAACTTTTATCTGTCAAATTATGTGTGCCTAAAATGACTTTAATTTCTTCATAATATTTCGATGACTCCCGTGGAAGAACACAATGTGCAGCAGTAAGAACCCACTGATCTCCAATTAGCGCACCTCCGCAATGAATCCCTTTCATTGGTACTTCTATTGCAACTTGCCAAGGCCAGAAATCAATCATATTTCTGATACTCTTGATCTCATTGGCTCCTTTTCGGTTTGCCTTGAATTCCCCGCAATCTGGCACACAGTCCGCATCATGTCCAGACCATCTACCATCATCTGAACAGTAGCGCAGGTTACTATGTCCACGATTGCGATAATAGTCGTCACATTTATACTCGAGAAATTTATGTTGATCTTTCTGTTCTGTCATAGTGTATTTACCATTCCTTGGCATCTCTGGTGTGGGGCAATTTATTTTTTCACCTAATCGTATCACTCCAGGTTCTTTAACCTCAGATGTTGTAACCTCAGGTGTTTTCATTGTTGATAGCAGTTTATCACCTTGGATACCATCTCTGCATCTATGTGTATTACATATTGTTTTGTCTTTACTGTCTCCAATACATTGTTGACCATTGTACTGAGGTACCGGCTCAGTACATGTACGATTTCGTTGTTTTATCCCTCCATCACATACCTCACTACACTTGCCCCACTCACTCCAAATGCTCCATCCACCATGTATGGGACATGGCTCAATATTACATGGTGATTTACTTTCTTGGTTACCAGGGCAAGGTTTCCCAATTATTTTAGTTACACAATACCGCCAACGACGTTTCGTACCTCCAGCACAACTGCGTGAACATGCAGACCAGGCACTCCAACCCGACCACAGTGGTTCATCACTACATGTTGATGGTTTACAATTCTTTCCTTGAACATCAACAGTCTTATTCATTGCACATACATAACCCCCGCTACCATGATCACCAACACAAAATCTCCATCGAAATGTTTGCCCCTGGTTGCAACCTCCCTTACACTTGGTCCATAGTGTCCACTCTTCCCAAACACCAGCACACATTTTCCCCTCACAGTTTTGATATTCCTCAGTCTTACCCAAACACATGTATGCACTTGTTTTAGGATCTTGTTTTTTGCATGACCTACGTCGTGATTTAAACCCTCTCCCACATTGTATGGAACATGGGCTCCATTCCGACCATGGTGTAAATACTGACGTATCATTGCATAACCCTCTGACACATTGTGTAACTTCAAAAGATGAACCGTTGCATTTCGCTCCGCCGTGTTGTGGATATGGATTAGAACATCGCCTGTGTCTTGTATTGAATCCTATTCCACATGTTTTGCTACAACTTGTCCATGGATACCATGACGACCAGCTGCCGTCAACAGGACATGCCTTGATGTGACATTCTTGTTTGTCAGTATCATTTCCAGGACAGTATTGTTGTTTTGAACCATGTACTATTACACAATCTCGTTTTCTTGTTCGTTCTCCTTTTGAACAATTCTTACTACACGCTGACCACATGCCCCATTTTGTCCATTCAGCACAATCTCTTATTTTACAATCTTGGGTTTCAACTTTAGGTGCAGGGCATGCCACCCCAACATGCGAGGTGGCACATTCCCGTTGGCGGACTTGTTTTCCTTGTCCACACAGAGGGTTACACATAGACCATGATGACCACTCAGTATAAGAAGGGCAAGGTCTCCTAGGGCATACTCTTACTTCAGATTCGAGCACTCGTTTGCATGGTGATTGAGTACACTGTGTGTAGTGACTTCGTGTTTGGTATCCAACTGAACATGTCACACTGCATGGAGTCCATACACTCCAGGGGCTCCACTCTAGCTCACACTTGTGTGTGTTACACCACCTACTTTCGATATCACTACCCTTACACACGCCTGATTTACATTGGCGACTCCTATTTTGTCTTCCATGATTACAAGCTTTTGAACAGCTGTCCCAATTAGACCACTCACTCCATTCGTCTTCACAGCCGAATTCACTGTCTTTAACATCCAGTAAACCTTTTCCACGGAGCCTCGCAGGACCCTCGCATCGTATTAAATGTTGATAAAATACTGTAACATCTCTTTGATTTTGAACGATCCAATCTTTTAACCATTTTAAAGAGCATGTACACTGAAATGGATTTTTGTAAAGCGACAATAAACGCAACGATCTAAGATCGCGAAATATTCCCCTAGGTAGCGTTGTGATATTGTTGTCGTTCAGTTTCAAGCGTCTAAGGTCAGACATTCTGTTGAAGGAATCATGTTGTACTTGACCAATGCCGTTGTGATTTAGTAAGAGTTCAACCAGAGACGTGAGATTACTGATTATTGCAGGAGATTTTTCATTCATCGCCATTCCACGCAAACCAAACAACTTGTCTGACAACGTGTAAAAATTATTACTATCCAAATATAATCTTCGTAGTGATGTTAATCCTTCAAAAAAATCTTTAGGTAGATTTTCTAGAACATTACCATCAAGATATAAATCTCGCAAGTTATCCAGTCCATGTAACAGGCCTGAAGGTAACTGTCCCAGTCTGTTTCTAGATAAGTTCAATGACTCCAAGGTGGTTAAACCTTGAAATATATTTGGTGGTAAACCTTCCAGTTCATTTGACGCTAAATCCAAGTAGCGTAGATCTCGTAGATTTGAAAACGCGCTTGTAGGGATGGTTGAAATTCGATTTCCTTTCAATGAGATGTATTGCGAATCTGCGGGAAATCTACTTGGGATAGTTTTAAGCTGTTGTTGATCTTGTATGTCGCAGTAGACTTTTCTTAAAATGCCTTCCATAAGACATGTGCACTGCTGTGGGCAATCATTAGGTTCCCAATGGCCTGCTAAACTCCACGCCAGGGTCACGAAAACTACAGCAAAATATAAAGTGTACATATCCGGTATTCGAAACTAAATCTGTCCGTCTTCAAGTACAATCGCAAGTTTATACCGGGTGTTAAGGTCACCGGGTGTCTTATCTGAACCAATCACATTCCGACTAGGTCATTTGCCGAACACAATGATTTCTCGTTTGAAATTCACCGTCGCCTCACGTTCTCTCAAACCATGCCAACTTCACGACATTTCCCTAAAATAAACGAAATTAAAATAGGATGAGTTAGCAATTTAATATAAATTGGCCAATTAAGCTCGTTACGAATAATCTGGGCACGTGGACATATCTTTCATCAAATATTTCCCTTTCATTGTCATCAAAACATAAACTATTTTGGCTCCCTACAGTGCAGGGAAAAGAGCCAGAAAACTCGAGTGTCGGTTTCCTATTTTGCTGGCGGTTTTCATTGGGTCAATGTTTATCTTTGCCTTTGGTTATTTTCGTTTTAGCAACTTATTGAAAGAATCATTGTCCATTGAGGTTAGGTTATAAACGAATTTTAATATCTTCTCACATGATTTTCAGGTGCCGAGGCCCGAGGGGGCCCCACGTACGTTTGAAAAGACTGTCTTTGCCATTTTTAACGATTGTATATTGATTTGAAATCGAATACCGAAGTGGTTTTGTACCTTAGTTGAACTCGAATGTGTTGCGTTTGAATGTAAGCTGTCGCTGTGAACTGCCTTTTCTCAACAACTGCCTTCATTCACTCGGTGAATCATGTTCCCTTGGTAGCTTGAGCGTTCAAAATATCATTAGTGGTGTAATATAGTTTTCCTGCTTCGAAAGACTCTTACATTTTCACGCCACTGACACGGTTTCCTCTCTCATGTCGAAGTTGATAAGGTTGTGGTTAAAATACTCGAATTAATTGGTGCTCGTCAAATATCCCTTTCAAGAACATTCAGGAATGTACATGGAGTAAGATATCACAGGGGTGGCCGTCTTTAATAACTTAAGTATATCTCAAAGAATACTTTAAAATCTACAGATCCTACAGTCATTGAAGTTAATTAGGCTATAGATCTATATTTGTTAGTTACCGCACGTTGCCTCACAACAGCAGGGGGTCTGAAATCAGTATTGGAGTACATTTACGATGCAATATCCAAGTGTTTGCATTGTATTATTCATAACTAAATACTCACGTTGATTTCATCAGCTTGTACAAAATATATTTTCTTTTATATAAATGTATAAAATACGAGACTTGAAGAACACATTTTAAAACGGTTTGTTTGATGAGCGGTATCTAATTCTTCTCGCGTGACTATATATTTGAGTGACATGAATACATGCACGTCATTCTGCGTGATATCTAGTTTTATCTCGTTAATAACTTGTATTACGACTGTCATCTATCTTTGATAAATCAAACACTATGCCTCGTAGTTGTCTCTCTAAAGCCTGGTTTACACTACCAAAGTTTCTATTATCACGGAAGGAATTTTGCATGGGTAAATTCTAAGTTTTGAACACAAGGATTTGTAAGAAATGTTTGAGGAAACTGGCTTAGTGTTAAACACTTTTAGGGGTCAATTGGGACGAGAGTCCTGTTTCTTTCCCCTGTCACGATTTGTTTAATCTGTCCTTATTTGTCTTTAATTAGTTTGTATCATGTACACTACAAAGTGACAAATTCATTATATATATATTATTATAGTTCCCTCAAACATTTCTTCAAAATCCTTCAAAACTTGGGATTTATCTATATGCAAAATTCCTACTGTCATCACAGAAACTTTGATGGTTTACACAAACCAGGCTTAAGTTTTATACTTCTATTTGCTTCTGTTTATACCCAGATTCTACAAGTTACATAGTCTTAGTTGGCAACTTCTTAGAACTGCACGTGATGTGCGATTGTAAAGAAAGCTTGTTCAAACCGTTCAATGATTTTTAGCCGATAAAACGATTTGGTTCAGGGTTTGAAATCACGAGCAAACAGTGCCCGTCCGATCAAACATGTTTTTGCTCGGACACGACCCGTTTTTGACCGATCGCCACAAACGAACGCTTGCTATTGTCACTTTTATTTATTCATCTGCTTAAACTTATCTGAAACGGTGGCCCTCTACTAAATGTATTTACACATTGAACGGTATGTGCCAGTGTAGGTATAGTTCCAATAATAAGAAATGATTGCCGGATAAGGTCATACGGATGCAACTACATGAAAAATACGATAACAAGGAGTCGGACTGTCGAGTCTCGAGCGAAGGCTATAACTTCCCAACGAAGAGCCTTCGCTCGAAACGTCGAAGTTCTCCTTGTATCAAAGTTTTTCAGGTATAGTTGCATTCGTATATCAATCCGAAGATTTCATATTTACACATTGCAATTTGTAAAATTAACAATGAAAACTAACACACGAATATACGTATATTATAAGACTTCAGTGTCTTGACTTAAGTAGTTACATATCATTGCCATGTACTAGCATAGACTATAGTCTGGTCTCCTTATATATAGTCGTAAAAATAGAGTCACGATCTTTCTCAACGGCCAGTTTATAGTATATAGTTTACACCTGTAAACCACATATAAATCATAAGTATTCTCTGTATAGTTCTATATCACTCCGCGTATTTTCAGTTCTAGAATGTTGTATTTCACCGGCTGATGCATGGAGGAAGATCGTGACTCAATCTTTATATATACGAGATTGAGCGACGATCTTCCTCATCAGCCGAAATACCGCAACATTTTATAGAACTGAAAATACGCGGAGTGATTACCACTAGAGAATACTTACAACTTTACAGATATAAACTATTATAAACTGGCCGTTGAGAAAGATCGTGACTCTATTTTTACGACCATATGGAAACCAGGCTTATATATAGACATTAATTAAGATTGGCGTTTTACGGCAGATCTAACTGCCAACCACAGACGGCAAACTATATAAATCCACGTGTTTTGAGTTCAACAATTAGCTGTACAATTATGTATATATAGGGTCATTTGTGCATTAACACTGAAGTATAAATTACCTACGTATAGCTTTCAAACAGTTGTGGAACTTACCTTCACTGAAATGCGATTTGAGGTTTGCCCTTTGGCTATATGCTGTTAGCTTTGTGGTGTAAACGCGTCAGTCTTAAGGTCTTACGTTACGGCAATGATATATAATTAGAGTTTTGAAGGAAGGAGTGGATGGTAGATGATACTTAAATACTTAAAAAGCTTTCCGCGTTGCATCGTGTCTAAATATAAGACACCAGAAAAGCTCAATCTGAGTCACGTCTGAAATGTCAATTATATACGACTTGAGTGTTGGCGCAGTGTGGCAGTAAGTGTCAGTACTTTGGAAAGCAGAATAGACAATTCCCATTATAGACTATATTTTTTTATCTTGTCAAAAAAAGTATATTCCCGGAAGGAGCATATACTAAAACTGATTAGTAAAATTGCAAAGTTAATTGGTTGCGAAATGTTGTAAAATGCGGAAAACATTTCTGTATTTTACAACATTTCGTATAACCAAACTTGCAATTTTACTTATTTTAGTATGCTCTTTCTACAATGTCTTTCTATAGCTGTGCCTGTGATGATTTATTTGCATCTCCTTGCCTAGTTTTACAGTAAAATTAGTCTATAAAGTGTAATGGGAAAATTGGGAATGACTGTCTAATGTCTATTGCTTAAAAATACCTAATAAAACGATCGATCGCCGATTCTGTTTTCTGTAAGAAAATGGGCAATTCTATAGATTTATATATGAAATGCATGGCTGAAAATTCTTTTAATTAAAGCACACGAATTAAGTGACGGGACAACATGACCAGCGATCCAAGGATTTGATTTTGAGCACTGATTTAGTGCACACGTAGACAAAACGGTGACAGAATAACAGTTTTTGGAGTTGATTCAACTACTTCAAATTTACAGTGTGTTGGTGGAACTTGGCAAGGAAAATCGCTGCAAATGGCAAGGAAATATTTCAAGGAGAATATTTTGTCACGTGCTGTTGGTGGACAGGAAAGGCGTGTAAAACATCCCTCCAACGCTGAACAACTTGACTTTCTCCTGAAGAGTTGTTCGACAGCGTTGGAGGGATGATGTTTTACACGCCTTTCCTGTCTATCAAGAGAACGTATTGTACCCGCGCATGAACCTGTGCATGAACCAGTCAATGTCGCTATAGATACTTCATGACTGTGCAAGAATGAACTAATTATACATGACGGTAGCCTGATAAAAGCTGGGTTTACGCTATCAAAGTTTCTGTGATCGCACAAACAGTAGGAATTTTGCATGGGTAAATTCTAAAAACGATTTGTATAAGAATTGTTTTAGGGAAACGACTCATTGTTTAACACTGAGACTGAGTCAGTTCCCTCAAACATTTCCTATACAAATCCTTCAAAACTTACTCAAACAAACAAACTTATTCAAAAACAAACTTATTCAAAATTGACCCAGGGCCCTGCCATGCCAAAATTCCTACTGTGATCACAAAAACTTTGATAGTGTAAACACTGTAAACCAGTCTTAAAATGTATTCTATATGTTCAGTCATAGGTCAATTTACTTCAAAACTATTTTCTATTTGCTTGTGTGATGCTACTCTGAGTGTATATCCACACCGGGCAAGCTTGAAAAATATGCCTGGCCATGCAGATATGCCTGGCCAATTATTAGATTACACTGATATCGAAGGAACTAGACTCAGTTCCGAAGTTCCGATTCCCACCACGTTCGATGGCCAGGCATATATTTTTCAAGCCTGCCCGGTGTGGATATACACTCAGAGTAACATCACACTAACATCTTATTCACCTAAGTACATTATACCAACACAGCAAAATATCATGATTATTTTCTATTTGTTTCTCTTTGTAATGTTAAAGAGTTCAATACCGATAGTCACTGTCACTTCAAATATATATTTCAAAAGTATTTTGTATGTTTTTAAGCTTAAGTTAAGGAATGTTAAAGAGTTCAATATCGATGAATGGATTACAATGAAAGCCTTCATTTAAAAATGACGGTATAGGTTGATGCAAGAATATTAAGAGAGTATTCTGTGAAAATGAGTGAAAATAGTCAGTATAAAGACTGACTATATTTTATGTGTATTTTAAAGCCAAACTAATGAATGCGAGTATGAATGTTAATGAGTTCATTCCGATGCTTTAAGCATTAATAGCTCTGTAAACATCTTCACATGGGTCAAAATTGTTTGAACAAATTACTGAATGACCCGGTCTTCACCCTGAATATTGCAAGCGTTCCAAGTTTTGGTTTCATCACGTCACGTGACAATCATGTTACTCCTCTTTATTTGAAACTGTAGGGCAAATATCGTAAGTTCATGCATGTATAAATACTACAAGGTGTTGCCAATGTCTGCGTGCGGGTAAATATATCGGGATTTTGGTCATCTATCACTCGATATAACTGCTATAATGAACTATAATCTATAAATACCCGTCATGAGTTCAGCATATTTCCTTTTTAACAAAGACCGTATTTCTACTCTTGTTATGACACATGCCGTGACAGCAGGTTTGCCGCTAAATCCTATATCTATAAGGGTATAGTAATTATTTTATCTACTCCACATGACACTTGTCCTGACATCGTACTTAAATACTGCAACTCGAGAAATATTGTAGTTAAGAATTTTTTAAGTGTTCCTGAGTTATAGTGAGCGACTAATTTCTTGGGCGGGTACTGCGTTGGTTTGAAACCTTATAGTAGCATGCACTCAACTCGTGCTTGCTATATACACAAAATTCATCATTGACTTTCTTTGGGTATACCTTTCACAACCTGCATTTAATAATGTTTGTCCTGTTAATGGACAACTTGCATGTTAGACTAAATTTTACTGATCTAAGTAAAGCGAAGGGAATCAAACACCACAGCTAAAAAGAACATATAATTAAATTAATAAAATTGCAAAATTCGGTTGCGAAATGTTGTAAAGCTTGGAAAATATAGTCTTGCAAAGTTTGCGAATTTTGTATATGTTTGTATTACGTGCGGAAATTGAAACCATTTTCGGCTCAAAAATGGCAACGATTTCCGCACGTAATACAAACATATACAAAATATGCAAACTTCGGAAGGCGGGTCAACTGCAGGTTGACTTGCAATGTGTATGGTTATAAACTAAAACTATATAAATAATAAACCACCTTAAACTGTGAGCTTATACAAATGGTGCTTTAAGCAGCCGCTATTAGTCCATACCTCATCAATGATTTGCTCCCTAACCTATGTCGGCTATGACTATGTGCCTAACCCATCACCCTGTAATGTAATTATATAGTCACTCGTCTGAGCCTTAACTGTCCAATAATAAGCCTTGTATATAGAGGGGCGTATTCGGGGGTATATTCGGAATGGCCTGAGCTTGTGAATAATGGCGGGCTTATACACGAGGGGCTTATATTTACGGTATTAGTCCAGACAAGATTTCTGGGAAAAATATTCCATGTTTATAAACAAGCTGCTGGGAAAATTGCTTTGAAGCTTTACGTTTACCTATATCAAGTTAACTGCATGGCTTTAAACATGCCGCCCTAAGCAGTGATCACTGCACACAGTTTATACATTTATATATGTGTCTTATTAATTCCGTGAATTTCTTTGTATATACTGCCTCATTTTGCCTTAACATAATAACGATGAGTTATAAAATCATGCGTCAATGATTGTCAAAACCGAAGTGGCCGAATAATAAATTTTCTTATGAGCATATTTTCTTCTTTATTCTTCAGAAACCTGATTTTAATAATTGTTCTCCATCGATCGCACAATGAAGAAAAGGTAAGATAAGATAAAAACTTTATTTCACGAGGGTAACACTAATTTACGAGTAAAATACTACAGTATATCATTTTATTTGCAACGATGATATACAGTATAAATAAAGAATGTCAAGAGTAAAAATTGTTTTTTACCAAGTTCAAAAAATTCGTCTTGAAAGCTTAAAGTTCTAGGTAATTCATTCTAAAAGACGGAAAATGAAGAAATGTGTTGTATACTTACTTATACAGCGAATGTTGTCACATTAATACATGTTATTCACAACTGACGCACACAATATACACATAGGTTATGCTTATATGCAGGTTGTCTGAATCTTAAAGCCTCTTGCTTGTAGAACTTGTGTTCCAAATTAGAGATAACAAATAAGGATGATGATTATTGAATCGTAGAGCAGTGATCTCGATGTTATATAGCCGTAAGTTCGTATTGTATTTTGATCACGATTCAGACGTACCATGCGTGCCTGAACTTCCCCTTATCGTGTTTTGACAACAGTTTCAGGTAATTATAAGCAGAACAATCAAAAACAACGTTTTATCAATGTTTTATGTGAATTTCCGGTTTTTTATCTTAAGTTTGTCCAATTTCCTCCAACTTGACCTGGAGAAAATGTTTTTTTTTAAATGTCATTTATTTGCAGGATAACATCAATCAAAGTTTCTGTAATCACATGCAGTATAGAATTTTGCATATATATACGTAAATTCTAAGTTTTGAAGGGTTTGTAGGAAGTTTTTGAGGAACTGACGTTAGAATTTACCCATGCAAAATTCTATACTGTGATCACAGAAACTTTGATAGCTAGTGTAAACCATGCTTTACGATATATGCATGCACTTCTGTTTTAAGTTAGCCTGCATGTGTCACAGCCGCATAAGAATTATGTTGGCATGTTTATTTTCATAGTAAATTGTATAATTTTTTAGTGCATCAGGTCGCTTTACGTTTCTACGCCTGTTGTTACTATAGTATTATACATACAGTTAAATATAAGGTTGCCTGATATTGTTACATGGAGCAGTCATATGCAGTATATAGGTTTGATGATTGATGATTGATGCGAGTGATGTACTTCTAATCTAGTTATTGTTCTCTATACCCAAAAAACTTCATTTATATAAAACTTCAAGTTGGAAACAAAATTTTAATAAATTTTGCATGATCTCTGCATGTCACAGATTTAAATCAGCGCAAAGGCCTATATAATTTATATATAATTTATAATTACATATATAATTTATGTGTCCCACATCCATCATCTCATTGTTGGTTATATATATATATATATATATAGGGTAGTTCTGTGCTCGATTTACACATGCAGTACGACGCAAGTTGTAAGCAGGTTGCATACGACAGTTTTAGGCAAAAGTTGTGTTGTGTAAATCGACCTTTAGATAGACCATAGATAGACTAGAGTAATTTTTGTGTGACCATGCAGTGATATTTTCTATAACCACACCCGAATTATAATGGATATTGTTTTACCAAGATTCAAGAATGCATTTTACAGTTCACTATATTGAGATTCATATGCTATATTAATATATATAAAAGGTCTTTCGTCAGAAGATTAAATCAGTTATATACAGTGATCTATATAGGATTTATATCGCATGTGTATATCTATCGATCCATATAATTCAGTTTTTAACGGCAAAATTGGCAAAAACTATTCTTTCTACATGCATATATCATGAAACTATATATGTTGTCGTTCTATATACCTTCCCGGCTGTCAGTTTATCCAAAGCTATATTGTATTAAAAAATTATAACACTTTGCGTGACTATATTGATTACAGAATTATATTAAGTTAGCTAATGATCGCAGCTATCCACGTCAGTAAAACGTTGTCATCCACATGCACAGCTTTATATACAAGTTTACACAATGAAGTTACAATACCTTTTAAAATCATATGTATAGAAAGCTTTTAGGAGGATATAGATTTGTTTATACTTGAAAACTGACTGATATATCAACCAAGTGTGTAGTTTTCGGTGCCATAACAATCTAGCTACAGTTCGTAGTCCGCAATGCTTGATCGATTTGATAGATGCAGGTCGTTATATATACTTTTAAAAAGAGCCTCGGGGTGTGTACGTATTACATACACGTAATAATTTTTTTTAATTGGTTAAGTAAAATACAAGTCAGCAAAAAGCGTGCATTGCATGCATCACCATCGGAAGTATATATATCACAAGACTTTGAATGACTCAAAGTTCACTTTCCTTTACGTTCTCACGTCATTTCCAAATTTAAGAATGAGCCAACTTCCCTTTCAAGCTCTTGGTAGTACGAAGTTGCTGTAACCACGCATGGGCAACGATATATATAACGAGCTGAACCGGTATATAGATCATGGCCATGATCCAATCTCCGGCCTTTCCTGAAATATTGGCATTGCCAAATGACAAATGTGTATATTGAAATGTGTATTTGATGATATCTGAGAGACCAGAATACTTGACTGTATGTTGTGTAACTGACGTTTCCTGCCTCACCCCGTACAAAATAGAGCATAAAGACAATACCAGTTTATTGTATAGAGTACAATTAGTTCTGGGTAAATATCGAGATTTTGTTTCGGTTCTTGTCGGATGGATCGACTGCAGGTTCTATTCCTGCCAGGGACCAGATAAATTTCCACTCGATAATTTCCATCTATATACAAGACCCTTCATTTACATTTAGACAGTAAATTTAGTTCTACCGAGTGTAGCCTATATAGTTGCCCAAAATTCTGATATTTACCCATGCACCACATCACAGTGAACCGGCTTGCGATTAGAGCTCGACAACTGGACTCTGTAGCTCAGTTGGATAGAGTGCTGCACCGGATTTGCAGGGCAGCAGGTTCGATTCGGGCCTATAGTTACATTTTTCACTAGTCTAATGAATGTATAAAATTCACACTCGAAATTCCCATGATCTACAAACTCTTCAACAATCTATGAGTGTTGATACTAAAAATCCTGATACAAATACTATATACCTTCCCATACCAGACTGTCATGCAAGCACAGTCAGTGCTCTTGTGTTCTGGGAAAGGGCTGGAGAATCAGGAATAATGTAACGTATTGAAAAGTTCATGGCGAAAGGGATGAAGAGATTACGAATGAGTATCTTTGACTTCGATTTGAGCTGTCTATATAGTTGGATTATACGGTTAAATTCTGCCGGAACATCGTGCACGATGTCGTTCCGCTTTCTATGAAGCCTGTAGCAACGTATAGTTGCGGTCATGTGTCAACTCTATGTAAGCCATTTTCTAACGTACAATGCTCTCAGCAGGGGAAGAACCTCCAGGCTAGATCTGAAGATAACGGTATAATACATTGAGAAACGTTCACACGATTGTCATTTTGGCGTATGAAAACGACTGCTGACGCCACTATTCCTGTTCATCAGTTTATGGCGAAATGTGACATCTTTACACGCATTTATTCGAATAAATACGCCAGGATAAGAATTGTATACGACTAGTCGTATCGTGTATATGTATAGATGGGCCTTAACGACCCTTACCTTATCATTCATGCTTCAATATTCCGCTAGCTTGCTGTCAGAGCGAAATTTCAACATTATAGATGAACATGCATACATGGTCAGACTAGTCAGATCGATCAAATTACTGAATGCAGGAATACAAAATTTTCGAGGTTGATATTGGTAAAACTTTGGATCAAATAAGGGAAAGGTCCATCATTGCCAGATTCTGGAAAAACTGGCCCGGATTCTTGTCAATACACGGATATAGAAATTCGAGTCTGACTGGTCTGGTCATATGAATGGAGAGTGCATTCAGTTATAGTTATTCAGATTGATTAGGACAGGTTTCTAGGTTTATTTTATAATCAGATGTACTGATATACGATATCTCTGACAAAAGATAGTCCAAAAGTAATCATCAATATATTTACCTTGTTAGACAGTTAGAACAGGTATCAGAACAATATTGCTTTGATGCGTTGGATGAAAGTCTAGAGGGCAAATAATCCTTGAGGACAGCACGCGCTCTACTTAGCTATTATTTTTATTTTTGCGGTATAGTTGTTATGTCAGTGTTATTGGCACGAAGTATCAGGGTGCGTCCAATAGGTGCGTGTCTCTATATAATGAGCTATAATTAGCCATACCACTCTAAGAATATAATGAGCTATAATTGGCCAAACCACTCTAAGAATATTTAATATTTGAAGAATTTAACACCAACTATATACTAAAGCGATGCCAATGTAAGGTGTATGGCGTAGTTCACATAGTTGAACATGACTTGGTCATGACAAGACGCACGTGCTGGAAGAGCAGTTTATATTTAATATGTGTAAGCAGATAAATAACTAGTGCTCTGAGTAATCAATTGTTCATCTTTTGATAAAGTTTAATCGATTAAAAAATCGACCGCTGTGCAAAGTTTTATTAATAACTTTGGAATACGTATCTATGTATGAAAATATCTATAATTATCTTTGGAATCTAGTTTATAAAACCTATAGCTATTCATTTGCAAGACAAAGTGGTGCATTCTGAATGCAGGGATATATTTAAAATATCTATGGTATGTTTTAATTTTTGATAGCCATTATATTGTATGTATCTACATTCTATAATCACTGATCCTGAGGATACATGGGAGAAAGTAACATACGAAACTAGAAATTATTGTTGATTATCAACTTAAATTAAATGGAGTACTCAAATATAGACAATGTTGTCTCCAAGGTGTCGAAGTGTATAGGAATGATTTGACGAATGAAAGCCTTTGTACCCAAGTCAACATTCATTTCTGTAATGCAATAATACTTAGGGGCGCGCATTGGTGTGTGTGTGGGGGGGGGGGGCACACCCCAATGCGCCCGGGGGGGGGGGTGGAGGGGTTAAACAAAAAGTCGGTGCCAGTTTTTGTTTGAGACTGTATCAAAAGTCTATGAGAATAGACCTTATGCATAATGACGTCATAAGGCTTGATGCCTGCGAGGAATACTGGTCTTAGTAGTCATCGCCCGGGAAAATTTCGATAGTGGCCATTTTGACTGTTAATTTTCCCGGGCGATGACTACTAAGACCAGCATTCCTCGCGGGCATCAAGCCTTGTGACGTCATTATGCATAAGATCTATTGTTTAATCCACATGCCACAGATGTCTGGTGTAGACAGGAGCATTTTTAGTTCATCCCGAAATTCTTCAACTTGGTGCAAGTGCAGGAGTAAATGTCATTTCCGAGCCTCGGACCCCTAGTTTTCAGCCCCCCTAACTTTAAATTATGCAATAACTTTAAATTATGCACTAACTTTAAATTATGTTACAGTTCAATCATGTTTTGCGTGCTGTGTTTATACTTGGCTGAAAATCTTAACTATGGTTCCCAACATAGCTGGAACGGGTGATTCCAGCTGCAGACTAAATTTTGATCTAGGCAAGAAGAACGAAATCCAACACCACAGCTGGAACGAGCATCTTAGAAAGCGTAAAACTGCAAAGATTGGTTGCGAAATGTTGTAAAATGAAGAAAATATAGCCCTGTGAAGTTCGCAAATTTTGTACATATTTGTATTACGCGCGGTGAAAATAACCACTTTCGGCTCAAAAATGGTTATTTTTCCCGCGCGTAATGCAAATATTACAAAATTTGCGAACTTCGCAGGGCTATATTTTCCTCATTTTACACTCATTTCGCAACCAAACTTTGCAATTTTACTCATTTCAAGACGCTCGTTCCAGCTATGGTAATGGATTCCATTATTTTTGTCTAGATCAAAATTTCATCTGCAGCTGGAATCATCTGCTGATTAGCCTCCCCCAAATAAAACTGTTCCGCTGCCACTGGCTCGAAAAATAAAAATTTGGACGAAGCGCAAGTGGTATATTAAACTCATTGATTTTGAGCGCGTGTTACGTCACATACAAAAAATCTCCTCTTAAGTAATAATAATAATAATACATATAACATTACCCCTATGTATCATCCAAGATCCCTACGTCACGCCCGCCTCTCGAGCGTTCTGGTTGGTGGTCTGGTTGGCGGGTATGTATCTGTCATGCAGGTTATCATGTTGCAGGGAAAAAACCAACTTATGTTTACAAAGTAAGGCAATTAAATGAGATAGCTAGTAATTGATTATCAGAATTGAAGCGCATTATTTGATGGAGTCATGGAGATATTTGCTTGCATGTGTGTGGTATTCTGTAGGTTGACTTTATATAAATTGTAGAAATAAATGTTGTCTTGATTTACAATACAAAAATATCCTGCTGCACTGAGGCCGAGGTTTATATCCTCACGTGTACATGAATTGAGCGAACATTAAAAACGGTCAAGTGCAACACAAAACTAAAATTTTCAAATATAACATGCCTTTCATCCGCGCGACCTGCGTTTTGACCCACAATATTCTGACTTTATCATCGCCTCAGTCGGCATGTCACACGATTGCTTTCTACGAAACACCTCCGGGTTTTTCCTGTGCCAGTCGTACCAGACCAATAACTCATTATGAACTTCTAGGACTAGGGTTTATCAGAAAGAACTATAAATGGAGCTATCCAGTTAATTAGGTTTCATTCTGTGACCTTGGTACACTTTGCAAAATAACGGGGGCATCACTTCACACTTTCTGAGACGCTAAAAATGACTAATTATCTCATTATTGATGTTTTGTAACAATTATCAAAATTTCATGAAGTTGCGCATGAACGACACCCCTGTGAAGTTCGCAAATTTTGTACATATTTGTATTAC